GGACAAGCACAGTATACTCATTCCGTGGTTTCAAAAAGAAAGTTTCTTGACAGGTTTCAATTTAAAAGACTTCATCCTAAGAATAATCAGACTGCCTTTTAATCCACTTTTAAATTTCCCTTATAATATCTGCCCAACAGAGATGACAGCCAAGCAGATGGAATCAGCCTGTCAGAATGTAGAATTAATCTTTTTTCGCCAACAATTTTTTTTGTATGACAGATTTTTAAAGTATGCTTTGTAATAGTTGTTTTTGTTTTTGTCTTTGTTGTTGTTTTTTTGAAGGTACCATCACGGCATTAGCCCAAAGTATTTGGAATCTGATTCGTGAGCTGATGGAAAAAACTGTTTATGATGGTATCCAGGAAAACAATATGCTACTTCCAGTTTTAAATGTTAGTTGGAAATCTTATTTGAATTTAAATTTGTCAAGTCTATTCACAGTTCATAGAGAATTTCAATTCAGTGTCGATCTTGAATGCAAATTGTTTTCTTAATTAACTCAGCCATATTTGGTGAGATTAAATCTAGTGGTTTTTGGAGTTTCTTACCTGGATTAGGAGATAAAAATTCTTTTGTAATTGGATTTCCTTAAGTGCTTGGCTGTCTTTCTGATGGTCACTGGGAAACAAAGGAAAATAAGACATTGTCCCTGTCGTCATGAAGTTCAATCTAGTGGGCGTCTGCACACAAAGATACATTTCTGGCAGACTGCAGGGACAGAAATAAAGAGAGAGCACAAAGGAAGAGGAGCTACTAGAAGAGTGAAAGATGGGTCAGGTAACAAACCCTTAAGCATGGGTAGGAGTTGGCCAGGTAACGCTGGGAAGCTTATGGAGGAAAGACTAAGAAAACATTCCAAGCAGAGGGGAACAATGTAGGAAGGACACAGATAGGAAAAACAACTGTGTAAAGAAGATGCTGGAAAGTAAAGTATGGAAGCTAGTTTTAAAGAAGTCAAGATTACATATGGGGAGGCTGGTTAAAACACTATTGTCAGTGTGGCGGGGAGGGTATAGCTCAATGGTAGACTGCATGCCTGGCATGCACAAGGTCCTGGGTTTAATCCCCAGTACATTCATTAAAAAAAACAAAACAAAACAAAACAAACTTATAAGAATCAGTTCAGACAAGCTCTCATTATTATGGAGATTAGGGCTGCCACATTTCAATCTACTTGTGAACTCTAGCTCCTGATAGTTAAAACTAAGTGAATTCCTGAGTTGCTAAACTTCATTATCTGTTTTTTGATTCCTTCTTACAGCAATGTCCCTCCTCAGTTAAGTTTTACTTTCACACTTGTGTGCAAGCAATTTAAAAGCAAAACATACAAACAACCAGAAAGTCCAGAAAATAATACACAAATAACCAGAAAATCCAACTGTGGGCATGAAAAGGATACCTTGGGTAGGTGTCCACTCAGAGGAGGCAGTGTGTACAAGTGCAAATACAATTGTTGTAATATATGATCAAAGATATTACCATAGCAATTATGCTAAAGATGATACCAGAAAGAAAACATGACTTGGAGTGTGTAAAAGGATTCTGCAGGCGCTTTTACTTCTAAGTGAACACCAAGAAGGACAAGCATACAGCAATGACTGAAAATCAATCTGGTTTGAACTGAAGATGTAGTTTGGGCTGAACATATTTTTTTTTTTCTAGCTTCACATGGTTGGGATAATGAAGAAGCTAAAAAACCCTAAGTTGTTTATAATTGAGAGGGCAAGAAGAACTAGAATAAGTCCCTGTTTGTAAGTGGCAGAAAACTCAACTCTATCTAGCTTAAAAACTAAAGGAAATTTATGGACTAATGTGTAATTGAAAAATACAGAGACAGGACAGACTTCAGGCAGAATTTGACTCTGACACTCGTGATGCTGTTGTGGATGATTTT